TGATCGTGCCTACGTGACTTCTGGGAAGACACACAAACGGGCATACAAACAGACACACAAGGTTAGCGCTTTATACAGTAGCGCTCGAAAGTACTCGGCTAAATGCTTCTTCACTCGCACTTTTCAGTCATAACTCCCTTCCTACAGGATCTAATCAAGCGAGATTTCAATATGCGTAGCACTGGTGTAGTGTGAATATTTACCACTACATATTAACCTGCATTTTAATCATGTTCCAAATATCCCAAAGAGCTTAAAATCAAAAGCAACTGTGAATAGGGGCACTGGTGCTTCTAGAACTTCTTTCCTTTTTGAAATGTCCAAAGTGTACGAGCGCTAATGCGAAACACAGAAGAGGAGAAAAACGCAAATAAGGTGCGAATAACTGCAGACGCCACAAACTTGCTTTCAGCTAACTGCACATGCTACAAACGCCTTCCCCTTAATTACGTGGACATTGCTGCTTGCAGTCAAATGGTATTGGATAGTGTGGAATATAGGGAAAGATTGCTAAAATCTCAGGGTCATAAAAGAGTGCTTAAAAGGAGAAGGACCAAGATGTCGATCAGTACTTTCAATGCACGAATGCTTGCATCGGGAGATCAGGTGCGACATCATCGGACTGACCGAGATGAGAAGGCATCGCCCGTTGCACGCCATTTCCGAAACGAGAAGAACTGTTCCTGGGCACATGCGATTAAAGAGGCGACGTCGGTGTAGTTCTCGTCAAGACGCACTTGGCTGTGAACATCGATTCGTAGGAAAGCTTGAGAACCCTAGTCGGACGTTTGCGACTGAGAAGATGTGGCTCAATCAAAACTCTGACAATCTCCGTTGTTCACGCGCCAACATCTAGCTACGAAAAAGAAGAACTGGAAGCGCTTTATACGGATCTGGAGAGGTTCTGCAGAGAAAACCATACTTCCTTCAAGGTAAACGCCGGTGGTTTTAACGCCATGATTGGCCTCAGAAGAGCGGCTGAAGAGCTCCACATCGGGACTCATGAAATGGAATGGAATGAGCAGGGTAGCTGTTCGATCAACATGTTGACACACACTAGCCCAATTATTCGCAGTTCCAGATGAGAAAAATGGAGAGAGATGCGAAGTTCAGGAAACGAAGCTCCGTGATATTTCCAGCTGGAATCACTTCGCTTCACTTTCGAGTTTGTGGGAAGATTCCGTTAGCGACATCATCGCTGAAGAACACGGCCGGCTTGTCGAACATCTTCATAGTAGTGCCACGAAAGCAGAGGGTCTTGAAGATGTTGAGAAACGTCTCTCTTCAGAAATTCTCGAGCTGATCAGCCAGCGTGGAATCGCGCGAGCTGCAGGCAGTAACCAGTTAACGTCCGAACTTGCGAAGCTATGAACAGAAGCGATAGAGGGAGGTCTAAAAGAGAGGAGCAGCAGTTTTGACTGAAGCCGTGGAGGCTGGAAAGAGCATTCGTAGAGCGCGCCGGAGCTTTGTCAATTATAAGACCAAGATGAATTCCCTCCGTCTTTCTAACGGAACTGTTACTACATCCCGAAGGGCAATGGAGAAGGTCATATACGATGTCTACTCTGATCTCGACAGCCACGCCTATCTGCCGGACTACCATCTTGGGCGAGATGGATGTGTCGTCCCGGTTTTGGCAAGATCAAACCAAAACACCTAAAGAATCTCTCACCAGTTATCATCAAATCTCTGGCGAGGCTCCGCGGTACCTGTCGGAATGCAAAGTGCCCACGTCGTGGAAAACTAGCAAGACTGTGTTGCTGTATAAGAAGAAAGATCCAGATGATATTGACAATTAACGTCCAATCTGCCTGGTGTCTGTAACCTACAAACTTTCACACGCGTCATCCTAGATAGGGTTGGCAGAATATTGCCGACTCTGATTAGGATCACGCGTGCTAACGTTGCAGCGTATCGAAGATGATTCAGTACATTCGATCACATCCACACTGTTACAAGACTCACTGAAGCGTCGCGAGAGCACAAAATGCAGATACGTCTGACGTCCATCGATTTGAAGAAAGCCTTTGAAACCGTCGAGACGAAGCGGTAAGCGAAGCGCTGGACAGGGTTCCAGGGCGTTCCAACTTAATATGTAAGGTTGCTGCGTGAGCTCTACAACATCACGACCAGAATCTCGTCTTTCTATAAAGAAGTCATTATCAACGTTAAGTGAGGTATTCGGCAGGGTGATACAATCTCGCCCAAACTTTTCAGTGCCGCTCTCAAGAAAATCATGCGTCATACGGAATGGGAAGGGAAGGCATGAGATTCGAGGTCGACGGCCGCTACTCACATCACCTCCGCTTTGCAGACAACATCGTGATTATAACGCTGAACACCGAACAGGCAGTACAAAGGCTGGCCGAATTCGACGACGTTCGAGGAAATATCGGCTTACGACTAATTGTAAGCCTAACAAAGGGGACGGGTTGATACCTGATGCTCCTTTCACACCGAATGGAATGGACGTTGCTGAATGCTTTAGCTAAGTGTATCTAGACCGGGAAGTCATAATGATTAATGACCTGGCACCGGAGCTGAGCACGAGAAAACGCGCGGCGTGGGGAGCATTTAGAAACATCGAAGGAGTAGTGAAGAAAACAAGGAACGTCTGGCTCCGCGCTCACCTTTGCAACACTGCGGTCCTTCCTGCTTTGGCATACTCCTCAGACACTTGGACTCTACGAAAGCAAGATGAGCACGCCGTCAGCGTTACTCAACGCCCTTTGGAAAGGGCGACACTCGGAATTTCTCTATACAAGCAAGCGCAGAAGGGAATCCGTAGTTCCGAGCTTCGTCAACGAACGAAGATCAGAGATGCTGTTGACTACTCCAATAAATCGAAGACCAGGTGGATCGGACACATTATGCGATATCTTGATGATCACTGGACCAGGGCGGTCACCGATTGGATCACTCGGGATGTGAAACAAACACCAGGACCACCGCCGACGCGATAGTTAGACTTCTTCGCGAAAGCTCTAAAAGAAAAGTGTCTTGCCCGGTTTCCCCCGAGCACGATTCACTGAAATACTCTGGCTCGAGACGAGCTCAGAGACGAATAAATAGAGAAGTTCCTGGCGCACGCTCGAGGAAATCGATGATCAACGGGACGGCAGGCGATACGGGAGACTGAGTATGACACAATAGTCAATCACCCGAATTTGCTTACCAATATTAATAGCTGTTTAACTTATTTACTGACAAAGGCATCTAGAAAATTGGATGCTTGAACTTAAGTCTCACTACGATAGCTTCATTCTGCAGAAATAAAGCACTATGACAAAAACAGAACCTGAGTTTGTGGACTGACTTCGTATTCCCTCCTATGAGAAACACTGATATAATGCGCTTATCAACAGCGTTGTTGTTGTTTATTGTTCTTTAACGCGTCGCTTTGCGATGGCCTGGTGCCGACAATTATACGTTTCATTAAGCACTTACATAGTGAATCCTATAAACTTTGCTTCATTGAAATTTTCAGGTAGATTTCGGGTTTTTACAGCGTATAATGTACATAACGAGATCAGCAGCAGATTCCACATGAAAGGTGTTAGAAATGATCCGGAAGACGTTGTACAGACGAGAACCAGTCTGAAATATCGAATTCTGTTATCATCACCAAGATCAGGTCTTTAACCAATGAAAATCATACATTGAGGCATGGAAAGTCGGATCAGCAGATTCGACCATGAATTTACCTTGAAACTCTTCAGAGTGCTGACGAGCAATACGTCGCCGACATGTAGGTGATTCAATTGGAGAGGCAAGTGCAATTAACACAAAAACCTTCCCCGTCTCAGTACTTGCGCATTTACGTAGTCAGTACAGTGCTCAGCCTTTTAAACACTTAGCGTGATCGCTGTACCTGACTGCGAAGTACGGTTGCGAATTAGCAGGTGTGGCGCGATTTCAACAAAGGTGGTATATTCTTGGCAATGGGTGAGGGACTCAGAAAGGTCGCAAAAAAGTCTAGCAATACATAACCTGTAGAAACCATGACAGATGAAGTATAGATTATGCATCTGTCCGTNCGGTTAACGACGAATGGTTCAGTAAGCTCTACAACTCCGGAAATTCGCTCACGTCTTTATGGGAGGGAGTGGTAAAACTCCTTGGAAGTTTGAAAAATCATCGGCAATTGAATTAGGATAGATTAAGTATCTATGAACAACATGTCCAATGATAAAGGCAGTACCGAGATGGCAAGTAATGCGTGGAGAAACCGGCAGACGGCCATTCCTGCAACACTCCAACGGCTACGATTACGCATTGAATACCGACGAGAATCCATGTGATGACGACCTGAGAGCAGGATTGGTTACGATTAGAGCAGTCTGTGCAATCTAGCCTAAGCAGAACCAAATACTTTCAAGAGGACGCACCTGCGAAAATGTGCTAAGAAAGCGAGGTTTTTTCGTCAAGATTCTCTTCTTGCTCCCGGCTAAAATCCTGGCTATTCGATTTGTTTTTGTTAATAAAGCAGAATAAACTATAGAAAAGGCAATAGGAGGAATGATTCTGGAATTTAGGTTCAATGAAAATTAGATAAGGATAGCAATTTCGACAAAAATTTTTACTCACCTGGTCAAAAAACATGATACTGAAGATGGCTTGGCCAAAATGGAAAAAGTCACAGCGTAACACGTCATTATACCTGAAACAGTGAAAACTTATATTCGCGAGCTGTTAATCTCAATTATTTCAATGGATCACAAACCTGAGAGTATGATATAGCTGAGTTCTCTAGTTGTACTCTTCACCACCGGTGTCCCGTTGTGTCGCAGAAAGATGACCGTGGTCAGCGTAGTGGTGATCATCCCAACAGTAGCCAAAATTAAGGCCAGAATGGAGCCGAACGATGACCATGAGATGGTTTCATGTGGCAACGCATGACAGCCTGGAAAGCACCGGTATCAGAAACGCCTATATAACCCACAAATAACGCCTTTATAACCCACGAATAATAACGCTCTCAAGAAACAAATGAATAAATGATTAGGTGAAGGGAACCTACTACTTCTGGTAGTATCCGGCCAATAGCCAATACTGCAATTTTGGCATTGATTCGTCGTATAATTAACGATCTGATGATCCATACAGTTTTCGCAAATCCAGCAACATGCGATCGTTTCTCGCTGCTGCATACATTAACAAGTATGATTAGTTAAGCCGTCACACTTCACGAGCAAACCGTTATACATCGTTTAATGTAAATATACTGCATAACTTTTCACTAGTTTCAACGTATATCAACAATCTGGAAAATCGGGTGCTACAAAAAACTGACCCGTTGCCCAATACCGCACGGTTTGCTGCAGACACTGGATGGAAGATCCGAGCTGCGATCAAAGAAAACGATATTGCGGGTGTCTGTCATGTTTAACTCCTCCACTCCATTGATATTGTTCGATTGAAAACTGCCTACTTCGGCATAGGGCTCATCCGGTGATCGTTTACCCACGTAGTTAAGAATATCATACCTGGATGAAAAAATGTTTATATGACAGTTGAGCGTAAAAATGTAGGCAGTGGGGGAGGGTACCAGCGCCCCTTTGTGCTCTGCGTCTCTGACACCAGGCGGCAGAGTGCATAAAGACCGCGCTAGAGCGCAGAGGTGGTTTCCTCCCCTTCTAAAAGTTAGGGGAAGAGCTCGGAGGTGGGAGAGATGATTATCTCGTGCGAAAAGCTGATATGGGGAAAGAATCGAACATTCAATTGGTTCACCCACACCCGAGCTCGTTCCCTAGTTTTTAGAAGGGGAGGAGCTCCGGGACTCCGGGATAGGTGGGATGATAGATGGGGTAAGAATTGAAGAGACGCAGAGCACAAAAGGGCCCGGCACCCCCCAACTACGTTTTCACCATAAAAATTCCCATATCTGCTAATTCCCTCTCTAAAATGACACAAGTGGCGGAAAAACAAGCACAATGGTAGATGGGAGCTGCTTCGATGCTCATATGTACATATGTAATGAATGAATGGAAGAAATGCGAGCAAAGTGAAAAGACAACCATGCTGGCGGGTCCCCATTGCTGTCGAAATAAATCGACTGCTTGAATTGATCTTCAAATGTCACATTGAGCAGATATTGGTAGAGCAGAGTGCCGTTTCTGGACAACATCTCCGTGCACAGCGTTGAATTGTCTCTGGAATATACATTATACTTCCAGGCGATCACATCTGGACTGCCGCCCAGTTGGGTCGTCTGATAAACTTGAGAATAAATCTCAAAAATAATCACAATTAGAAAGTATTTATTAAACAGATTACGCTTTTTTCTCAAGTTTGAAAAGGAACCCTTGCCGAGTGAACTGCAGTTCGCATGCTAGATTCAACTTATTGGAAAATCGGATCTTTGTCTGCATAAACCTTCTCGAAAAATCAGTTCTGTAAAAAGCTCTATTGCCGTAATTTTTATTGCCAGAATGCGTTCAATCAGCAGCGAGAGAGGACTTGTGAATAACAGGAACTTGGTGGATAATAAACATTAGAGAAACACCGCTCATTCATTAAAATGCTACAGAAACGAAAATTCAGTACGGGCAGTCGGTCAATGTAAAATCGGGGTAGCTTAGCACTCGCATTGTTCATATAGCTACTTTCTAAGGAGAAGTCAGTGACCTCATGAACGCAAGAAGGAGTCAAGCTCCTCTAATTTTCGAAGCCGGCCTTTTTTTCAATGGTCTGTGCGTGCGGCCCAATGAATTGGATGGAAAAAACCATACCGGCATCGATCCTGATACATCGCTTTCAAGCCAAACGCAACCACACTTATAGAGTTGATCACTTGCGAGAGCTTAGGGTCCTAAATGACAACTTTTCAATCTAGCAAACACCGCATTGGAAGACAAACCTCCTTATATTCCTTGTCGAGGTCCTCGTTACCAGTGCAGATACGGATGTTTTCGTTATTCTTATCCTCTTTTGAGACGGCAAATTGGCATCCGAATTTTTGTTGCCAGAATTCGCGAAACCACGGATTCATAGTATTATTCTCCGGGTTCAGACGTGAATAATACTCACGGAAGCCGGGTACCTTCAGAGAATACGTATTGATTAAGCGACTTATACATTTGCTGCATACATTTTAAATATTATTTGTTGTGTTGCCACTCCCGGCCATTCAGGCCACTCCTTGGTTCTTACCAGGTTCATTCCTCGTCGAAGCAAACTAAACCCAAACTAACTAAACTACAGTGCGCGTCAATTGCATATGCCATCCCCTATTTTTTCTTTTATCTGAGTTGTTAGGCAACATTGCGAGTTGAAATGTTGACCAACACGTACTGAGTGAACAAGAGTCTCAACAAAGTCCAAACATATTTGAACGTGGCGGTAGCGCCCTTTTTTTGGCGGGAACGTGAAAATTAGCCGCGTCAATTGCTTATGCCATGCCGTCATTGCTACGGAATATCTCAAGTCCGCGCAGCTCTACCGCCTTCTGTCCGAAGCTGTCCTGTCCGCAATCCAAAGCAGTCCACCATGCCTAAGGGTCGTCGTCTATCTTCAACAGAACAATGCCGAATTCTATCGCTTCGTCAAGCAGGCCATAGCAACAAGGCCATCGCGGAACAACTCGGCCGATCCAGACGCTGCATCGACGGTTT